AATGGTAAAATGAAGTGCATACAAAGGAAAAGTGGTTGGAAAAGGTTAGGAAAGCGTTATTAAAGATGAAGAGGGATAAAGAAACAGACCCATCATGAAGCGATATATTGAATGTAGCTAAGATATTTTAGCAATTTGTGTGTGACAAACTTATGCAATTCCATGCTTTTATGCGAAGAAAGCATTACTGCGGACCTTGAGCTTTGTTATACCCTTGTACAAGGAAAAAGTCTATCCGAGAATATGGCTCGTATCAGGCGATTAAGCTCCTGAAACATGGGATGAAAGTTTTCGAAAGAATGTTAGTGAAAAAATCAGAGATCAAGTGGAAATCAATTATATTGTTTGGCATTCTCAGTAAAATAAAGGTTCTGTGTGAGGTTACTAAATAGGCTTTGAGGAAATAAGATGTAGAAGATTATTTGATTCTAGTAGTGATGGCAATATACAAGGATGCCCGAATTTTTAGTGCACATAGATAGTGATAGCTTTGATGCAAAGGTGTTGCATCAAGGATTAGTCTTGAGTCCATCATAATGGAAGTGGTGAAGGGACTCCCTGGGTGGATTTGATATCTGCAATAGAGTTGCTTTGGAAAAATGGGAAGCCTCACGCTCGTGCATGGTGAGAATGGTTCCTCGCTGAAAGATTTATGAGAGTAGCACTTCCCGTTTACTGAATCTTTGAAATAAAATGGTAATTTTATAAGAAGAAAGTTTGCTAGGGTGGATGTCACGATAAGATATCATGCATAAAAGCTTCAGCCAGGAATCTTATGAAAGGTTTGACTCCTTACTGGATATCCTAAATGTATTAGATAGTTTAGATATGTGCGATTGAACGCAAGACCATGATTGGTCAATAATACTTAGGATAAGTATACTCTTATCTGAATTAGATTTTAGGCCCAAAGTGCTCTCACTGGATTTGATTATTTTAACTATATTTCATTCTACAATTATGGAGATAGATTGCATTGGTTGTTGGTGTCACGAATCAGATCATAGACAGAATCGAATGTACGCCAAACTGTAACCTTGTTGGATCCTTCGCTGGAATTGATTAATCTAACCAAAATAGAGATGAGAGGGATTGTCATAGCGATCAAAGACCAATTTCTAGAATTCTTGGTAAAGGATTAGGCTTCTAATAAATAGTTACGCTTTAGAAAGTTGGAGGCGTTTGTTTAAATCAGAATTTTTGTTTCAAGGGTTCATGTATAAAGAAACCTTACAGCTCTCTTTGAGCTGAATCCCAAAATTGATCACTTATTAGTTTATAGAAGGATTCATTTTAATTTAGCAATAAATTAGAAACGGGTGAGCAATACCATACCTATATAAAATTAAGCCTATGCATGGGCGAGAACTAAAAATCTATCTTTTTTTACATTAAATATATTTTATTGAAATAATTATTACATTAAGAAAAATTTAAATCTTAATTTCTGGTCATAAATTCATAAAAGTATTGCGCCCTTTCACTATCATTAAAATCTTATTTTAAACGATAATTGTGACCCTCTTTCCTTTCCACTTATTTAAAAATTAAAATAAAATTTAAGGGAAGAAAAAGTAAATTGTGATTGAATATTATACAAATTGATCATTTTCAATTTGTCTAATATTTCCCTGATCTCAACATGAGTGGGGAGTGGGGGGGGGGGGTGAAAGCCATTTGCCTCCACTATCTTGATGGTGGTAGGGTGTAGGCAGCAAAAGGGTTGTAAGGGTAGATGTTGGAGGGGTGTTTGTTTCTAGCAAATCTTTCGCCATGTAAAACACTGAACATGATATAATATATCTTGAATATTTTAATTAATATATTATTTATGATTGATATATAGTAAATATACAAATAATTTTCAAAAAAAATTCTTATAGTCCCCCCCCCCCTCCCCCTTTCAATAACATTGTAGAATATACTTAAAATATTTCTATCATTATACACATACACATAATAAAACGTGAATTTATAAATTCTGACCAATCTTTCAATAAATTTTTGGCTTGAAAATTAAGTTTTTATTTATTTATCGATAACTAATAAAAATTATATTTCAGAGAAAAAAAATATTCATTTTTTTCTGTTTATATATTTTATAAAGAAATATTTGTGTATTTTTTTTTAACTTTAAATTTATATAGATGTTTATAAAATTAAAAAACGAAAGAATCTATATTTGAACAAATATTTAATTAGCAGAATTCAAATATATTTATTTATATTGGAAAGCAAAACATAAAAATTCCTTTCGAAAGCTTAGAAATCAAATATTAACTTTATTTTTCCTGCCCTCGAAAATAAAAATTTTAAATCATAAAATAGAAACTTCTGGTACTTTATTCGAACTAATTCTCGGAATCTTAAGTAATATTTTAATAATTTGTAAAAGGTTTAATGAGAACTTTAGAATTATAGGAGGAAGGGATCTAAGAAGAACATCTTTAAATATTAGTAATTTACGAGATCTGAAAATGGGGGATAATTCCCCCCCCCCTTCCCACACTTTTCCCAACATAAATTTTTGTTTTTAGTTCTTGATCCAAAAAAATTAATCCGGTTGAGAAGTAAAAATTTTCTCCCTTCCAAAAATCTAAAAACATTTTTAGCTCGATTTGGGATTTTTTTTAAAAATTTTGAAATTTTAAATAATTTTTCGCTGTATTTTGTTAATTGTTTCAAAAGGAAATTAAGATATGAGCAGAATGAATTTTAATAATATATTTTATGATTTTCCCACTAGTCAATTGATTTTAAAATAATCGGGGTTTAGATATTGACTCGGTTTGGATGTTTAAAATCATGCCATTCTATTTTTCTTAAGACAAAATTTTTTCAAGTTGGGTAAGTTTCGTTTACGCAAATTATATTTATTTAGAAAGATAAAATATAGTACTTTCTATTTAAGAATTTTCCAACTCTTTTTTAGGCTTTATTGAAGTATTAGTAATATTATATTGAAAAAAAATTTTTAATTTAAAAGATTGAAACAAAATATAAAACAAAATCTTATATTTTAATGCTGAAAGATTTTCTTCGACATTCAAATTTATCACGCTATCATAAAATAAATGGTGATATTTTAAATGTCTTATTAATTAGTTTATCATGGGCATTATTTTTGATCAGTGAAAAGAAATTTTGCCTTAAAATAAAAATTTGATCAGTAAAAATATATATAATTACAGTAAAAACAATGACGTTTCTTAACAACTATAACGAAATTCGTCATGATATAAGAATATGAGTATCCTAAGTTGGTGCTTAGTTAGAAATTTGTCTACATCATTTACAAAAAAAATAATGTCCTGGATTAGATTAGGAGTGGCAAGATCAAACGTTAGAGATACATATAATTAAATTGTAAATGCCTAAGTAAACTGTAAATTCTTCAGGTAAAATATATCATATATTCTATTAATTAAGTTTTATTAACATATTCTTTAAAATTAAAATTTTTGGATATATAATAATATTGAATGGATAATATTTTTTATTTGATATTATACCAAGTGGTTTAAATCTTTAAACTAATTATATTAAAAAATAATTGAATTAAGAAAATATAATTTTACATTAAATCATCCGCAAGGTGGCGTTTATTGTTATTTAATATTATATTATATAATAAATATAAAATTGTCATAAGTTAATAAATTTTGGGTAAATCTAATATTTCAAAATTTAAATATGATTTAATTATGATAATGAATTCATTTTACTGCTAAATTATAAATACTATTTTACTGGTATTATAAATACAGCAAATTAAGAGAAAAATAAATAAATTTACTGGTAAATCAATCAAAAAACTTAATATTTTAAAATTTTATATCGAACTGTAAGATATATTTATTTATATCGTTAAAATTATTAAAATAGTGATAATTGATTATTATATTGAAAAAATTTTTAAAAAAATAAGGACAACTTCGAATAAAATACTTGATAAATAAAATAGATAGCAGCTTTAAAAAATGTCAGTTTTACGTATTTTTGGTAAAACTCTCATAAAATTTTATAATATTAATAAAATGTTATAAATATATTATTAAAGTTATAAATTAATTTGATTTTAAGATATATAACACATCTAATATATTGTACATATGAACCCTATTTTGACTCTCACATTATTTTGTTCCATCTGTATTATGGAATGTTAAAAAAATGTTAACGCCAAACATGGCTGAAGTTCTATAGACCTCAGATTGTTCGGAGGAGTTAATTCAAATTCCAAATACCTTTTCTAAGAATTATGATTTCCTTTTATTTCCTTCAACTTATGACAGATATCAATATCTCTGGTATATTATAAAGTGGTCATTTATTGTTTCCGAGTGTTTTTTTTTAATATCATTATATACATTATTTATTTATAATAGATTATTTTTTAGAATTTATATTATTGCATAACACAAGGTTTAAAAAAATGGGAAAAATATTGTAATATTAAAATTTTTTATTTATTTATAAAATTGTGATGTCAGCAGAAAAGATTAACTTAACCCTAGTTAATGTATAAAATATTATTACATATACAATTATTACCAAATAATTTTTTTCTTCTTCTAATAAACATGATAATATAAACAAAACTCACTTACCTATCTTTCTTATTTGGTTTATTTTCAAAAAATTTGTCCTATAAATTATAACAAAAAAATTTTCTTTTGGAAAAGCAAATCTATTTATTCAATGCACTGTTTCAATCATAAAAAACTTATTTTTTTTATTATTAATAAGAAAAAAATAGTTTTTCTTTACTAATTTAAAAAGAGATTGAACCCTTTTGGAAAAGCATATGATTAAAATATTCTTTGTAAATTAGAAATTGAACGCAAAAGTTTAAGTCATGATGCTTAAAATCTTTAAGTCATACTAAAACAACTACTCGAATAAACTAGTTGGAAATGCCAATTTGTTTAGTTGGGATGATTTCATTTTTTGAGGGCTAATTATTATACAAAAATTTACCTATATCATTATTCATACAGAACGATCGTTTATTAAATACAAACACCACCAACAATAAGATAACATTACCTCCGATAGCCACTAGAGACGAAGAAGATCCATTAGTACGTCAGAAGTTCGACAACCCAAACCAAGGAAAATTCAATCCATCTAATCGCCAGATAATGGAAATAGAAGAACAGCGAAAAATAATAAGACCTGCCCCCACTGGTGTTATGGATGTATGGGTTAAACCCCTTTTGGCAGAATTTTTGGCTACCATGCTTTTCGTATTCATAGGTTGTTGCCAAGCTATGAGTGGTAACGTATCAGCCGCCGCTTTTGCCCACGGGCTTACTATAGCCGTGCTTGTAGCATGTCTGGCTGATATCAGGTTTATCGATAGAAGCTATTTTTTGCTAATTTTTTTAATAAAATTTTCCAAAAAGCGAAATATTATGTATAATATCTGATTAAATATAAAAGCAAGTATTTTTTTTTAAAAATGGGGGTTAATATAATGTTCTATATTTTTGAAATTATCTCATTAGTCATTCTTTTTCTTATGAACGAATAGAAATATATTTTTCCCAGTTTAAGAATAATTGTTTTTTATGGAGGAAATGAAATTTTACTGGCCTTAATTAAAGAAGGTTATCTGGTCATTCATTCCTAGTTATTTGGCAATAATAATTAATCGATTCAATCATTTCGTAGGAAAATTAAATTATGCAATTACACATTTTGACATTGGCATAAATACATTTAATTTTTGAAAAACCTTTCAATAAAATAAAACCATAATAAATTAAATACTATTATAAAACCACCCCCCTACTTAAGAAGGAAATTTATCCTATTATGCTAATTTTTCAGCATCCCTTTTCGGTAAATACACTTACATATGACATTAAATATGCGAAATTTTATCCCATCCACTCTCTCAGATGTTTATAATTAATTTTTTAATTAATATTTAGCTTAGATCTGAAAAATTTACCTTTTTTTAAATATCATTATTTCAATTTCAAATGCAATTAAATTTTTCTTATAGTATGTAGGTGTAAAAATTCTCAAAATCGAGTTACTCTTTTAGAAATAAATTCCTTATATAAACCACCTCTACAATTTTATATTAAACTGAGGTCACTTTATGAAAATCTTACATTTTAAAGTATTTATATGGTATTTTTTTTAAAATAATGCATTTTTTAAACTAACTGTGAAGTGGGTGTTGATGTAATTTAATATTTTTCTTAAACATAAAATTATTTTTGAAATTGATATCATATTTTATAAAAAGAATATATTTGGGCTTGTTGAATTTGTTTATAACCACTATATAGATGGGAAGAACAGCTTCTTAAACAATAACATTTTTAAATTATATTATATTTTTTTTTTATTTATAAAAAAAATAAATATTTATTGGAAGTATATTAACAATATCGATTTAAAATGTTCACTTAATTTTTTAGAATCAGTGGTTATTTTATGCTAATATTTTTTAGCCCTAAATAAAGACAAAACAAATTATTTTATATTAAAATATATTAAATTAAAATGATTTTTGTTTAAAATGGCTTTAAAATTTTTACAAATTTATACTTACTAATAACATATTTTTTTTACCAAAATTAAAACAATTCTTTTGAACTTATAATTTATGTTTTTCATTTTTGAATAAGGTTTTTAAAAAAATTTGAATTTATCATTTTTGGATTTAAATTTCGTAATCTTAACTGTAATTTTCCTAAGCTGATTTTGCACCTTTATCAATATATAAACCCTTATAACATACTTGAAAAATTAATATATATATATTGATTTTCTGAATCAATATTGGAAAAATATAGACCAATAGCAATAAAGGTAATTGTCTCATTTTGTATTTTGCGGAAAACCATAATTCTTATATACTCAGCATCTACTTCTCCCTAAGGGTGATTTATTTTTACCTTTTTTAGTCCCTAAAATAAAGCATAAAAATATTTGTAAAAAAAATATAAAGACGGTGAATATTTTTTCTTTGGATTTAAATTTATTTTTATATAAGGTGATGTATGCTATAAATAAAATAAATATCGCATGGAAAGAGGCTCACTTAAGTTCTTGGTTGTTTCCTTTACAATATTAAGATCATGACAGATCAATATGATTCGATTAAATTTCCTAAATAGGATTCTATCTATATTTTATATCTATTAGGTGCGTCAATATTAATTAGAAACTACTTACAAGATATTTTACTTAGGATATCTTTATTGAATGGAAGCATATAAATTAGTGATCTGCATCGGGCCTAATTTTTCAAGCCCGACCCGGCCGAAGCCGAAATTTTTTTAAAAAAATTTACCGACACGGCCCGGCTTGAATTTATTTAAATATAGAAATTAATTTTTATAATTACTCAAAATAAAAGACATATGTTATATGTCGTTTAGTTTCAATAAATAAAATCAAATATTTTTAATTTGCATATGAATATAAAATTGAGAAATTTAGATATATTTTAAAAAAATTCCAAGGTCCGACCAGACCTGGCCCGAATTTTTTTTAAAATATTAGACCCTGCCCGGCCCGAACCCGATTATTTTAAATAGAATTAGGCACGAGCCCGGCCCGAAGCCCGTTTGGGCCGGAATTGGGCCGGGTACGGGCCAGGCCTAACTTTGCAGATCTCTAATATAAATATTAAAAATAAAAAAAAATTTTTATCATATTTTACTAACAAGTTATATATGATTTATATTTAAAACAGGATTTCATCTATCCGACATGACATTTATAATTTTAACTAGGGCTCTAACGTATCTGTTTGATTTTATTTATCAAGCAAATGTCTGACATGATTAATTAAATATAAATGTTTTGCTTAATTTTATTGAAACTAGATACAGGGAAAGTCCTGGTATTTACCCGTCATATAATTACTCAGATAATCTTGGCTGGCTCATCAGTAAAATCTAAAATCATATACTAATGTGAACATTCGCAGTATTTTTTTTTCGTTATCCATGTTTTTGCCTTACAATAACCGCGCACATGAATTCGTTATTATTTGCGGAAATATATTGACGATATTCGATACTTACTCTGATATTTTTATAGAATCGATTTTTTTATAGATAAACCTTTTAACTATTTTCGCATCTGAAAAAAAAATAATATTTAAAAAACGAATTTTTAAAAAGTTTAAAAACAATCCAGATGGGAAATAGCAAGTGGTATTTTAAATATCAGCTAATTTTGGCGTCGATAATTTTTAAAAAAAATCAAAATTATTTTTTATAATTCTGTCAAGTTGCAAAACTTGAACTCGATTAGATATCTCATTTTTCAATTTTCATTTGTATACGGAAGGTATAATCATTTACTTTTACATGAAATATTGTTTCCCATAAATTCCGCATTACTGAATAGTGTTCATTCCCTTTCACCCCTATTTTAATATAATTGAAGAGTGTCAAATTAAGCACTATAATCAAGTTTAATTACGTTGTATTAGAATATTTACATAGGATATTATATTTAATTTATAATTTATTTCCCTTAATAAAAATAAAATGCAATAGTGGTGGACATATAAATCCAGCCGTAACCATTTCATTGATGCTGGCTGGTGGCATCAGTTTGGTCAAAGGAGCTTTGTATATAATCTGCCAATTATTGGGTTCCATCTTGGGAGCATCTATTTTTATGGTTAATTTTTTATCTTCAAATTCATTTTTAAAAAAATATGAAAATGTTGAGTAAATGCATATGTTATCGAATTTTATATTCCTTTTATAGAAATATAAGTGTTGTTAAACGGCTCGATTTGAGCCGATATTTAAAAATGTCTAACGCAATATTTTGTTCAGAAAAATATTACTCAAGCCTGAAGATTTTGATAATAGATGGCACAAAGATGTGGATATCAATTAACGAAATCTTCTGACTAAAATATTTAGTTAGCCGTTTTTAAAAATTGGCTCAAATCGAACTGTTTGGTAACACTAAAAAATAATTGAATCATATTGTGCCCGTTATCTTACTAATGATTTAAAGTACATTATAAAATTATTGGAATATAAAAGATATAAAAGTTACTTAATATATATTAATAGTCACAATTTTTGGTTTCACATTAATTAATCAAAAAAAAATTTTTTAAAGGGAGCAGTTGGGATGGACAATTATAAAAGAATGATGGGTGGCATGACTCTTTACAATGCCAGTCCAGGAGGTATTACACCAGGTGGAGCCTTTTTATGTGAAGTTTTCTTCACTTCACTCTTGATTTTCTGTGTTTTGATGTTGGCCCTAGATCACGGTGGTAGAAACCCTGTCACTGCTCTATACATTGGTTTATCTATTGTTGCTTGTGTCTATGCTGGGTAATTATAAAAATAAAATATTTATAATCTTATTCCTAAACAGGCAATTTCCAAACAGAACTTTTATTAAAAAACGGTTATTGAGGCATGCTTTCAACTATTTTTTTTTATATTTCTTTCTCCAAACAAAGGATAATTATTTGTCGAATTATTATTTTTTATTATAAACGATTAAATGGCGTTTGAAATCCGGATGGTAAAAAATATTTTATGTAAAAAATTAATTTTACAAATTGTCATCCTTTGTTTGGAAATAAATAAAAAAATTAGCTGAAAACAAGCCTAGAAAATCGTTTTGAAATGTTCTACCTGGAAATGGCCTTGAGCAGTAAATATAAAGTATGAAAAACTTTCATATTTGTTTGAAATATATTCCGGTTTGTTCCCATACTTCTGTCGGTAAGAATTTTTCTATATTGTTCTAATATTTTCACTTTTCATAAGTTATAAAAAAATAATTAAATTGGGATTATATTACATAATTAAAAAAGAATTAAACTGATCATTATAAGATTTTGATATAAAAAAATTAAGTGCAAATATCTCGGGAGCATCTCTCAATCCTGCTAGAACTTTTGGACCTGGAGTATTATTTGCCATTGCTGGAAGGCACAACTGGTATGGACAATGGGTGTTTTACATAGCACAGATATTGGCTGCTGTTGTCACTGCTTTATTGTACAGGTACTGATATTTAGTTTTGCTTAAAAATATTATTTTACAAGCCAACTCTAAGAGTTGGTTGATGTGATAAATTACTTCCATTTGATTTTTATAGAATGTGCTATATCATTTTTTAAAACATAAGTACTTACTTATATTTTAATTGTCTCATTTTTTTATATTCATTTATTTTTATTTAGGTTTGTGTTCAGAACTAGAGAAATCTAAGCAAGAAGTTGTCATTTTAGCATTATAGTTTCAGGACTTTATTTTTTTTAAGTTAAAGATTTTTATATTTATCATTTTTTAAGTTATAAATAAATAAATGATGAAATTATAAATATTTTATTTTTAAATTCATTATTTCGGGGATATATTTTTTAAAAGTTTTATAAGGAGTAATTTATAGGGATTACATATTGCACAGTTAAAATCAAACCAAATTTTTTTTAAAAATTAAAATTAATTTATTTTAAATTTAGAATATTAAAAATGACCAAATTAATATGTGTATATATTTATTTTATTTTATTATACCATATTATATAAGAAAAATTAGCTTCAAAATATCAATTTTAAAATTAAAATTATTATTACTTATATTGATATTATATTAAATATATTGTATTTATTTCAAATCTATTGTCCTCTATGCATTATATTTTTATTTTAACATTTATATTAGCTGTTTAAAGATTATATAAATATATTCTTATATCGTTTATAAATATTTTTAAAAAAATTAATTTAAATTATAGTATTCTATTTTAACATTTTTATAATATTATATAATGTAGAAATTTTAATAATTTTGCTTTTCCTGTCTATATTCATTATATAAAATAAAAGGCGTTATAACCTTGTTTAGATTTTAAATGATAATTTTATTATTATAGGACTATAATTAGGGTTGCAAGAACTACCGCTTTTTGCGTAAATGTCCCGAATTTTCATTTACGTTTATTAGCTCCTTTAATTTACGCTTTATCTCGAATTTGTATTTTTAATAAAATATTTCAAATTACTTATGTGCATTTTCTCTGCCTTTATTGTGTTCATTCGTACACTTAAAAGCTTTGACTTGAACTTCGAGATGGAGACCAATTATATAAAATGGGGAAAAATACATATATATAAAAAAATATTGACGTATAATTAAAATAAACATTCATAAAAATGGTACTTAAATAATATAAGCAAAGGGACCCTAAATTAGTGTCAAATTTGAGGGTGAAACGTGAATAATTTGTCTTTGAAAACTTATATTTGAATTTTTGTTTAAAAAAATAGATTAAGGTTCAAATGTATTAAGCTAAGTGGTTGCAATCTACTTTAATTAATTCTTCATGATTTCCATATTTTAAAGTAATCGGTGAATGCATAATATATTTTATTAAATGTCTAATTTCACAAACCATAAAACGCCCTGTTAGATCCTTATCCTAATTTTAAAAATCTGTATCTAAAAATAATTTTAAAAAATCGGAATTTATTTTTATGCTAATTTTGGAAGAGAGAAAAATGGAGGAGCGGTATGGTTAAATTCTCCCTCTTTTTACCTGACTAATTTGTGCAACCTTTCCTGGCCCCCATCACTTTATATTAAGAATCCCGCAAAATTAATTTCAAATAAAATGTAATCATTATTTTAGTATTAATGAGATGGCGTGGTGTTCTTTAACAAAAAATTATAGAAAATATAGTTAGAACCCTAGAATAATGAAACAATGATATGTATATTTCTCAATGTTGCTAAAGTAGCGGCTCTATAATTTTTGAGCATCAGTTTGTAGCTATGTTATTTTCATAAAAACGCGTCACTTTTTTTCAAATAGTTCTATAGTTAAAATCCGTTACTTATTTAGCAACTTTAAAAAAAATTTCGATTCATATTTCAAAATAAGAAATAGAATTAATTTTAATTATTATTTACTAATTCATTTTAAAGCTAGAAATCGAAATGATAATATTAATATCTTATTCGTAAATACGATTTAATTTTCATATTTATTTCCAGTTCCCTCGTTGGAGACTACTTTCGCTAAAAATGTTTTTGGGGAAAAAATATCTTTACTAGATGAAAACTTTGATAGGAAATTTGATTATTTAAAATTATATATTTATATTTTTAATATTTTATTTTGAGTAGAATTGATATTTCAAATTTTAATAAAATTTTTATATAAAATTAAAAAGATATATATAATTGGGGCTGCAATATTTAAAATATTTTCGGAAAAATTTTAATCATAATTTTTTAAGTAGCAACATAGGCTTAGGAAAGGGGGGGGGGGAGGATGTGTGGACACCTTCGGAAATATGTTTGTTCTCTTAAATATTAGTCTTGAGTTAATAAAAAGAATTCCCTTACATTATCCCTACCCCCCCCCCCCTTTCCCCTTTCCCCTCTCTAATGAAATGTATATAATCTATCATTATAACAAATTCAAAGAAAAATAATTAAAATTAAAAAGTTTTTAAAATAAGGAGTAATTCATTCAAAAATTTTTTAAAAGGGCATATTATAAAAAAGGAAGTAAAAAACATTTTTTTTAAAAATATGTAACAGCCAAAATCTTGTAATAAGTGAACCTAAAAACTTCAAATAAAAGTTATGGGGGGGGGGACTAACTGAATAGTTCCCCCTCCTTCTTAGCAAAGTTTTTACGCCTATTAGTAATAGGGTTAGTCATTTCGATTTAAATCACCTTGATTTTTTAAAAAAATAGTGATTTACATCAATATTTAAAATAAAATTCTATTTACTAAATATGATTAAAATACTTAATAATATAAGGAAAGGCAAAGACTTAGATTAATTTAGAATTAAATAATTTTTATATGAAAAATACTAAATTATACTAGTAATCATTACTTATTAAATAGAAAAATATGCTTGGTTTATTTTGTATTTCATTGTTTCATTTTTTTGACATAATTGTGAGGAATTATTTAATATAATATTCTAAAAAAAATAATTAGTTGTTAACTTTAGGGCTGTGAAGACTCCTTATAAAAAAAGTTCGGGTTCAGACTAGGCATTCCAGAAAAATAAAAATTTCGTAAAAATAATAGAAAATAAGTTTTTTAAAAATTTATTTTACTATATTTAGCATTTACCATAAAAATAATTTTATAATTATTAATTAAAATAATACAATACAATTTAAAAAATATTCTATAAGAAAATTATCAAGACATCTTTTAAAAACGAGATGTTAAAATTAAAGGATAGATATTTTATGCTTAACTTTGACGTACATTGCAACCTTTGATGTACTCGACATTGGTATTTGAATTTAATTTTTTAAAAGAAAGTTAGTTTTTCTAAACGATTCCTAAGTTTGGAATACACTCCATAGGATGAAAATACTCTACTGAAGCTGTTGATTGTTTTATTTATATTATGTGGTCCTGCTAACCATCATTCATTTTTAAGATTATTTCATATGAAAACATAATTTTGTTAAATGAGTCAGATGTAGCTTTGATTTTATCATGATTGATAGATAAGAGATTGGTTGAAGATATAAAATTAGCTACGTTCCATTGTCACTTCGGTTTTAGTGTTTGTTAAATTTGAAACATATATGGGAGTTAGAAGACAGAATAAGAAATTCGATTAAAGTAATTAATGATGATTTTCAGGATGGCGGATTATAAAAACAACCATATAATAATAATATAATAAACTAATCTAAATATATAGTTAATCTTTTTTTAATTTTGTTCAATAATGGAACATTTTAAAAATGATTAGATTGCTTATTCAATTTGTGTAATATTTTGTTATAAACAATTGATCTTTCCAGTGAAATCGACTAGTTATATATTTTTTTAAAGCATCTATCATCAAATTTTTGATTGATAGTCGGCTTTTCATTTGACAAAATATCAAATTAGCTTATGTCTGACATATCAATATATATTGTTTTAATAATTTTCTGACCAGATATCCTGAAGCATTAACTTTTAACAAAGAAATCTTATATTAAGGTTAAAAAAATGATATTTTTCAATCTAAATCTGTAACTTCTCTAATTTAAAGATTAGTGCGATTTAAATCAAAAAATTGATTTTTTTTTCAAAAAATCACAAATTTTGCTAACCCTAATGAGTAACGACGCAATGCTACTTTTTTTAAATTGCATTAATATTTTTCATTACATAATAACATTCTACAATTGCATTCACGATTATATATTATAAAAAATGCTATAAATACAATTAAAAATTGTTTTGGAATTAATTTGTTTATATAAATATATTGTTAATTATTATATAATTATTCAAGGAATAAGTCCATCGAAATAGGGACAAAACATGGAAGATGGATTATCTGCAGATGTCGCGTCCACATAAACACTCTTCCATTGAGTGTAATGCTCTATGGATTGGAGTCCACACTCATGTCCATAACCTGATCCCTTATATTAAATAATGTATTTTTATAGAGAAAGTTTTCCAAAACTACTAAATTAAATATGGATTTATTTTTTGATTACTGCTTTTATTTTGAAAAACAGTATATTATATTATATAGGGTTGACTATCCAAAAGAACATTAGGTAAAAAAAATTTTAAACTTTAGACACAAGCTTTAATAATCAACTATATAAGTATAGAATTTCTTTGTAAACCTTTATTCCTCCAAAGGGTATTTGAACTGGGTACATATTGAAAGTATTGACATTGAAAGTGCCGCATTGAATGGCCGAACTGACTCTATGAGCCAAGCTTATATCCCTTATTGATTTTTAATGGTAAAAATTTATGGTTTATAAAAAATATAGCATGAATGTAAATTTTTATATTAACTTTAAATAAATCTTCTTTTCTAAAAGTAAAAAAGGAATATTTTTTATTAATTGTATCGGTGCATTCCAATAATTAGATTATCTAAATATTTTCCATTTCTTTCCTCAATCACTTATTTCATTGATAACTTTCACTCTTTCTCCCTTCGTTCTCCAAAAAAGTCCAAATATATACAAGTGGGGTTAATAAAAAAACATAAATTGAGGTATAAATATCTCAAATTCGTGTATTCATTTCCAAATTTGGCAGACATTTTATACCATTATTTAATTTTGACATTCCTTTAAATTTATAGCCTAAACCTATTGTGATATATTTTCATATAATATTACTTGGTGAAGTATAACTAACTTTATTTACTATATTTTGGAGTTAAAATTCGTCCGTATAATAAAATTGTTAAATATCACCGTGTCTTTTAATTTTATAATATATCATAAATAATTTGTTAGTTTTTATAAAATATTTTGTTGGATTAGGCAGGCTCTGATCTAGAATATTTGATTCATCTCTTGGACTTCGTCGTTTATATCTTATTTAACTGAACCACATCCTTTGTTTCAAAAACAAAACCATTTCCCCTCATCTGCTTTCGATAAGTTCTTAAGACCAGTTTCTCGATTTACTATAGATAATAAGAAAAATAATTCAGAAACAACGAATAAATTGAAACTAGGACTGTGCCGATATTTATCAGATCGGATCAGCACTGATATTTAGCGTTTTAAAAAAATCGGATCAGGCCGATATTTAAAGAAACGTGTTGTTTAAAAAAATAGTTTAAAATTTTTGTTATATTTTCTGCAACAAGAAAAGGATTTTAAAATATCTAACGAGTAACTTTCAGCTAGTATTGCTAAACGGCTCGATTTAGCCAATTTTAAAAACGGTTAACTCAAGATTTTGGCCAACATTAAATTGCTCCTGGCAGAGGTTTGGTCTTCCATTGACGAAATTTCGATGCTTAAGTGATAACATTTTGGCTAAAATTTTGATTTAGCCCTTTTTAATAATAGGCTAAATAGAGCTGTTAAACAACACTACACTCATTCATAAACACTTGCAAATATTTTAAACGAGATTATTAACTTTTGGTGAATAAAAAAAATAAAATATATATAATTAATTGTGAAAGTTAGTTGGTCTTTTTTATATTCGAAAATATTGATATTTTTATGACATTGATACGATAGATGGTAGATAAAAATAAATATCGAATCAATTTTTTAGTAATATCAGAAGGTGAGTGAAAAATTTGTGGATCGGCACAGTTATAATTAAAACAAACAAAAATAAATTTCCTGTGAAGAAGATTTTATTATAAATATTCTGCAACATAATATGAAGATTATATATAGACAAATATTAATTTCAAGAATATCTAAATTTGAATGAAAGATATTTTAAGAGAAAGATTATTTGAGTCCAATTTTATTTGCACAATATCTGCCTCTTCTGGATTAACTAATTATGATTTGAATGACTTTGTCTACCAGTGGCAACACAAGATGTCAACAAGATTTTTTTAGAAAATGATGATTGGAATTTACAAAATAAATCTGGGCGATTATCTGAATTAATTAAAAAGAGATTGTATTGGATAAAATTTTGTTGTTGATAATGAATATATATAACATTTTTTATACAATTCAAGGATAACAGATTATCTTATATGATTTCTCAGATTTAAAATTACTTTTTAAATAAAACGTCCTTATATCAAGTGCTCCCATAAAAAGTTTGTTCAGTCTAAAGAACCTTATTTGTGAAGAGAAAAGAGAAGATCTTTTAGAAAATTTATTTAACCCAAATTTTTATAAAAAATAATCAATACAAATATATAATATTTTATTTCTTTGTAAATATATTCTATTCTCTAATATTTTTATTTGTGCAAAGAGTTAAACTTTCATTAATTTAAAATGTCGTAAAGGGACCAAAATAGCAGACCATAAGAGTACCTTTAAATAGTTCATATACATATACGGTAAAGGGTATATGTAGGATGAAGTTATATTAATTTAAATTATAAGCGCAATGGCGATCAACCAGGAACTGTTCATATCGCTCCACAATCTTAAAAAAATCTTTCAATTGATCTGATAAAAACAAAAATGAATCGAGTTATTTCATCAGCCAACATCGGTTCGGCTTGATAAAACCGGACTTGTAAAAATATTTTATATATTCATAATATACAATTATAATCCAAATGCGTACTAAGTTATTAGACTATGATGTGCCATTTATTTTAAAAAATGGTTCTCTCATAAAATTAATTTTAAAAAGTGGGAAAGTAACGATGTAAATCTATTGATTTTCACGTTTTACTTAGTACATATGCCGCCGGATAATCCGAAATATGTGTTATTAGCTCTTTCGATCACTTCTCCTTCCTCTTTAAATTTGAGTAGGCACATCACACTCCCAAAAATTTCTTCCTTGCATATCGTCATGTCATCAGTACATTCACTAAATATAGCTGGCATCAAAAAATGTCCATTTTTGGAGGTCAGCCCTGGGGGGTGAACTCTGTAACCTCCGAACACTAATTTAGCTCCCTTGCATTATATAAGAGAAGTAATGACATTTATAAAACAATATATATAAGATTGTAAATAAAAATCAGGTAATGTAATTACAAAAATTATGAGTAACTCTTGCGTGAGGTGTAAATTAGAACGTGCATAATGCGTAAATTAAAAGCATGAAGATCGGTTTATAAAAATCATAATTTGTAAAAAATGAACTAAATGTTTAAATAACTAGAAAATGTGGTAATGCTAACACAATTTTTAGAGTAGACAAAATAATCTAGGCTTTCAGTGGCAGTTAAAATAATATTATTGTCAATTAATGTTCTTTCATTACGATATAAAACATTTTTAGCTTTATATTTAATCGGCCATAAAGGTCAATATATAATCGGATTTAAAGTATCTTTTCTTTAATATGTATGTCTGAATTAACTTCAAAAAACTATGTTTTAGACCAGTTTTGTGGGAACTATGATTTTCTATTCAAGTGAGATGATTGTAACATGAATTCTATAAGTGAAAACTGTATTAAGAACAGAAAGAATTTTAATTATTTTACTTCTTCCTTCCCTTTCTCGATATAACTCATGACTTTTTTAGCGTGCTCGGAAGTTATAGTGGCCCCGATTAAGGTTGTATCTAATGTAGGATCACCTATCCCTTGGGGATTAGAGATAAAGTTTTGATTCATCTTAGCAACTAATAACCTAGTTTTTGGTAGTTAATTAAATTATTTTAAACAATGATCAGTTTTAAACCTTATTGGTGGGCTTAAAGAAACCGACTAATGCTTAAGAACAACCCATAAGAATATAGGAAAAGTAATTTCAATTTGGTTATGATAAATGAGTTGATATATTATATGGACTAATTTTTTAAAATAAACCTCAATCGAATGTGTTTTTGTAAAATCAAGCTGGTCAGGTTGACGCAGCCATAGGTTTGCTAGATTCTTATATTAATTTTCTGACTGGTTGTCCTTAGGCAATAGCCGATGACATGATAAGTTCGCATTTTTTAATCTCTTTCTTTCTTGTGAAAATACCTTCAATAAAACTTGTAGCATATTATTTATGCTACATAAATATGATATTCCGTTAATTATTTTTAGCACTTTTATGTCTATTTTTATAGGTATCTAATAACTCCCTAGTCCCTACCATTCGTAAGCACCTGAGATATCATTTATATAGTATATTAATAGATAATATAGTTGAATACACATGAATAATGTGATATAGTATGAAATTTAAATTAATATAAAAACTCTATAAATCTGTTGTATACCGAGTCGTGAACGAAAACCCTGGTACCATTTGAACATGTCTAAAATTTATAAAATATGCATATAAAATTGGCAGCACTTTAATTTTTTATCTGTTCCATCATTTATTTGTGGCTCTTTCATACTTAATTTTTTCTTATATTCTCATATCTTCTAACTCCCCAGATTTATCTTTAATTCTTACAGCTCCTTGAGTAAGGAAATTGGCCATCATCGCCGTTTTTACGGCCATCTCTAAAGGCGCATCCCCAAAAACGATAAGTGGAGACTTCCCGCCAAGTTCCAAGGTGAGACGCTTGGCTGGAACAAAAAGACCGTCACCGGATATATTTTTCACTATGGCCGATCCAGTTGTCGCGCTACCTGTAAAGCTTATTTTACCAATACTAGGATGTTTGCATAACAGAGATCCGGTTTGTGCTCCACCCTTTATAGAGTAGGATAAATATAAAAATAATATAAAAAAGATTGAGGGGAGAAAATGTCCTGACATAAAAATGTGTTTGAAATTGGGATTGTTATACGTCTAGATTTGAGCCGATTTTTAAAAACGATTAACTCAATATTTTATTCATAAAAATAATACATAAGCCTGTAGATTTTGCTCATAGATGGCACAAAGGTTCTATTAGCGAGGCTTAAGGCAATATTTTTCTGACTAAAATATTGAGTTATCCATACTGAACATTTTTTCAACGCGGTTTTTGAGGCCAATTTTTTTTAATTCCAAAAGATAATATTTTTTTATAGGGCGTGGAGGGGGCGAGGGTAGTCATAAGATTTGGTGCCCGGATAGCTCTGGGTTAGGATTAGGAGGAGTAGCTTTGACTATTAACATTAGGTGGAGGAATCACTAAAATATGAGCACCTAAAAATAAACGAGGCTACACATGTCAATATAGAATATAGCCTTTATTTTAGAGTGGTCCAGAGATAGATGAGCCTTAAGGACTGTTGAGGTAGAGAATCTAATATAAAAATGCACATAACATAAGACACATATCAATATAGAATCTTTCCTTTATTTTTGTTAGCCATTTTTTTAAAAGTTAGCAGAATAGTTATAGTATTTTTTGTTAGTATAGGAAATCTCTGACTATGCACTAAAATATATATTATAAAAACTTATTTCCAAATTGTATATAGTAGTTTTACCTAGAATATACAAAAGCGCGTTACTATGCAATAGTACACATGGTCAAATTTAAACAAACGTAAAAATTAATGCAAAAGAATTATTATTTAAATAATTAAAGTTGACGTAAAATAATTGGAAAGAAGTTAAAAAAAAAGAAGTCCTTATCCACAAACAATACCATCCTTTTATAGGTATTTTTATCTATTATATGTGCTTATATTCTTAGCCAAAAACCTAGAGAATGGAACACTTCTCAAAAGAACTGAAATGGTCAACATGTTGGATGGTTCTTAAGTAATTGGCTGAGAGATGCAGCAACTTGACAAAGTAGTTGAATGGGATGGTGAATTATGATAATGTGCGTAGTGACAAAACAGATTTATATTTAAATGATGGATTGAAAATAGAACCATTATGAAAATTCATTTATGACAGGCTGCGGATTGAGTTAAATTTAAGAGTGACGCACGTGCCATAGAAATAAGTGTGGTTTGCGATGCGGGATGTGCTTTATTGCACTCAATGTTATTGATAGTTGAAGTTGAGAGTTCCAAAGTGGTGACGGTGAGTTTACAATAGCTCTTTGAATGAGCGAATTAATTCCGATGACTCAATCACATACATGTTGTATTTAAATTATATTTTTTTAATTAAGCAAATGGTGATATTATATTCTCAAAATTATATAATAATGTTAGATACTTTATCGAGGAAAATAATGTTATAACTGATATTTATAATATTAAGTCAATATTTAAACTGAAGGATCAAACAGAGTTTGATGATTATATTTGACAACAAAAAGCGAAGTTAAGAAAAGTTTAACCGAGTCATCAATATGATCATTAAACACTTGAATGAAAGATTTAATTATGAATCTTTTTAAAATCAGATTTTAATTTTTATTCCTGCTGTATTAGTAGACAAGGAGACTATAGAAATTTTACAGACATCTGAAATTAACTGTGTTTATCATTTTAATTCTCAGAACATTTTAGATGAATTTTCCAATTTTTGACCACTACACTTACACTATCTATTAATTATAATAAGGATCTAATGAATATTAGAAATAATGATACCTCATACTATGATGAAAGTTATTAATTTTAATAACAACTTTATTTTAATATACAGGCGAAAAAATTATAAATAACCAATAGAAAAAGGCTGAAATATTCATTTATTTTACCATACATAATCTTAAATAAAATCGAGTTCATTTACATATCTAAAAATATTATATAAGTATTTCATAACTCCCCTACCTCATGCTCTGATGAAAGAGCTTAGAGTAAAGTTAAAATTATTAAAACACGAATAGAAATAAAATATCTCATGCCTTTTAGAAAATTTATTATTAATATCAAGTGAAATAGATATAATACATTTATAACTGAAGATTTATTAATAATTTTGAGTTAACCTCTAAAAGATTATCTATTGCATAATCCATATATTTTTTTAAATTAAACTACAATAAATTTAGGCATTAGACATTATAATTTGCTTCTTAATAATATTTGCATAAATTTATAACTATTAAAAAATTTGGATTTACTAGTCCCTTATTAGTTAGCCATTTTTGAAAGTCTTTTATTGCAATTCTATTTTATATTCGTAATATTTTTCTAAATATGATCAACATTATTAAAAATTATAAATATTGTCCAATTAAAGGCAACTCATTATGTAACAATTGCAATAACGGTCGCCGTCAATTGAGGATTCGGCGCACAAGTCTAACAATCAAATTATTTAAAAAAAATGGAAATTAGATTTTTTTTCTCTTTAGCTTTCACCTTTTCTGGTGGTAAGCTCCTTCAACATCTCTCTCCACTTTATGTTATTCATACAATCTCTTTTTTCTAATTTATACTTCTTAATATTGGCTCTAACTTTATGGCCCCATTGAAGTTTTGGCTTTCCTCTTTTACGTTTGCCCATCACTTCCAAACTCTCAACTTTATTTCCTATGTAGTTCATAAACCTTCTCATTGTGTGCCCATACCACCTAAGTCTGTTTACCATTAACTTAGTCTTAATGGGCACTACCTTTAAACTACTTAGTATTCTTGTACTGCGCACTTTATCCTTTCTTGTTACCTCAGCAATCATCCTCAGCATTCTCATCTCCATAGTTTGTAGACTTCTCTCGGCTGATTCTTTGGTTGGCCATGTTTCCGAACTATATAGAATAGTTGGTTGTATGGAACTGTATTTCCCTTTAATTTGTGTGGGATTCTTTTGTCAAATAGCACTACAGATAAAGATCTCCACTTTAACCACCCTTGATTAATCTTACTCTTTATCTCTTTTTCTATTGTGCCATTTGTTTGTATAATGGAGCTCAAATATTTGCAGCTTCTAATTGCCGATATCTGCCATTCATTTATATCAATACTCTCTGTTTCATCTCCTCCTATCACCATATATTCCTCATTTCTCTATTTACTTTTAGTCCGTGCTTTTCTAGGATATTTATCCAACTCACTAATCTTTCTTTCATTTCATCCTTGGATTCGGCAAGTATCACAATATCATCTGCAAATATCATATTCCACAGGACTGTTTGAGGTATAGACTGTGCTAATACATCTATTATTGTAATGAAGAGAACTGGACTGAGAGCCGACCCTTGATGAACTCCTTCGCTATTGTGAAGCCTGCTGAAGTACCTGTTGTGCTACCATTGTTGTATGGCCCATATACATATCCTGTATTATTCTTATATATTTTTCGGGAACCTTTTTGTGGCGTAGCGCCCACCAGATAAGTTTTCTTGGGATTCTACCGAAGGCCTTTTCTAGATCGAGGTGTAGCTTTTTATTTTTTTCCCTGTATTTTTCACTCATTTGCCTAATTGCGTGGATAGCATCGGTTGTTGATCTTTCAGGCATAAAGCCAAACTGAGTCTCTCCTATTTCGATTATATCTCTTAATCTTTTTTCTATTATTTTTTCGTATAGTTTTAGACAGTGTGACATTAGTTTTATTCCCCTGTAATTTTGACAATTGTGTGGATCCCCTTTATTTTTGAAGATAGGAACTAGATAGCCCTGCCTCCATTTTTGGGGAACCTCTTCATTTTCAAGTATTTTATTGTACAGATTTGTGAGGAGATGTATTCCATCATCCCCTAGTGCTTTAAGGCTTTCTATTGGAATATCGTCTGGACCCCTAGCTTTGTTGTTTTTCATATGCTTGAGGCATGTGATTATTTCTTGTTCTGTTATAGGTTGTACAAGGTTTTGACAAGGGGGTGTTTATCTAGATGTAGTATGTGGGGATCAAAGTTGAGAAGCTCCTGAAAATATTCCTTCCATCTATTCATTATATCTTTTTCCTTAATATCAATTTCCCATCTTTATTTTTTATTACTTTCGGATTTATATCCCTAGAGTTCTTTTCTCGCTGTTTGGTTAATCTGTATATTTTATTTTGCCCTTCTTTGGTATGTAGATCTTCGTACATGTCATCGTATGCCATAGATTTGGCCCTAGCCACCGCCTTTGTAGCTATTCTCTTGGATTTTTTGTAATTTGTCTTGTCATCTGGGTTTTTGGATTTGTAACATATTTTATATAGGGCTTTTTTCTCCTTTATGTTTGTACCTTTTCATTCCACCACCATAGTTCTTTGTATGATTTGTTGCCTCCCCTTGTCAAGCCTAGTGTCGATTTGGCAGTGTCTATTAATCTGGATGAAAGGTCTGTCCACATTTTTTCACTGACTTGTGAGGAATCTATTTTTTCAATGTTTGCATTGATTGCAAAGGCATCTGTCATTGTTTTTAATTTGCCCCATTTGATGCATGGTTCCAGTTTTATCTTGTTTTGAGTGAATTTATTTGAGATGTGTAAATCCATGACTAGTAGCTTGTGTTGTGTGGCGATATCTTCTCCTGGGATGACTTTGCAGTCTATTATATCTTTAAATCTTCTGCGAGAGATTAGCATGTAATCTATCTGTGTTTTCCTTGTACCACTTTCGTATGTTATTAAATGACTGTCTTTTTTCCTATAGTAGGTGTTGGTTAAGGCAAGGTCGAAGGCTTGTGCAAATTTCAGTACGTGCTCTCCTTCATCATTTCTTTCTCCATATCCAAAACTACCATGATGCCTTTTGTAGCTATCTCTTGCTTTCCCCACATGCGCATTTAAGTCACCACCAATTATGACTAGGTCATCCTTAGGGATTTCCATTACAGCTTCATCAAAAATAAAGTCATCTTACTCTTCTTCCTTGCAACCCGTTTGAGGAGCATATACTGATAGGATGTGTAGTATTGATTGACCAATGCAGTTTTATCTTCATTATTCTATCAGAGATTCTGTTGACTTCTAATACTGAGGAGGTTAGATCTTGACTAAGGATGATGCCGATACCGTTCCTATTGCTAACAATTCCATTATAGTACAATTTATACCCATCTCCAATCATCAAAGTCTTCTGTCCTTTCCATTTCGTCTCTTGTATGCACGCTATATCAACTTTTCTCTTTCAAAATTGATGCCAATTCTCTCGTCTTACCTTTAAGCGTCCCAATATTCAAACTTGTTAATCTTGTCTTCTTTGCTTTGACCTTTACTTTACTTTTCACAGGATGGAGGTCTACACCCTGCGCGTCGCTTGGAGGGAACGCCCTAGCTTTCATATTTATATTTTTATTTGTTTCCTTCATTTTGTTTATTGGACAGGTATCCTTAGCACCCGGCTGTCCAGACCTGTCGGTGACCGGGGTGTCATCTCTAAGCTCCGAAATTCATCAAACCATATGTCTTTACACATCAGTCATCGAAGAAAAACTTGAAAGTTTTTATGCTCCTTACCAGGATTGAACATATGTCCTTGTTCGTACTTCTGCTGTTTCCAAGCATACATCTAACCCATTAGGCCACCCTCTATAATCTTAGAATTTTGGAATAAGTGGAGGCTAACATTAGAGAAATCATGGGTTGCAACTTTCGAAATTGCAGATCAACCCACCCCTCCCAATAAGATAAAGGATGACTTCAAGCTCTATTCCAATGATAACCAAATATATTCTAGGACTCCATTATGATTTTATAACATGGTGAGGTAATGAAAGGCTAATGGGCAGAGGTTAGATTTAGCAAAAGTTTAATATATAACATACATTCTCGTTTAAACCTTGTTCCACTTCAGGTTCATGGCAATTCAAAACGTTCGAACGCGATTTTTAAGGAGAAATCAAATATACAAAATTTATTTTAAAATATAGAAATAATCAGAAAACACAAGGTTCTTGAATACTTGTTTATTATCTAAATTATTAAAGAAATATTTATATAATATATTTTATTTATAAGAGTATATAAGAAAATATATATAGTTAAAATTAAATTTATTTATAACAAGTACAATGATTTTATTCGATAAATGATCAATTAAAATCCACAGTATATTTACCAAGATTCAAATTATCTTGTTGCCTCAAAGTCAATTATTTACTAATTCTAGTATACTACGAGAGTTTGTATTCTTCTTGTTTAAATCTTATACTTTTTTGATCAATTAGCACTTTTTATCAATCCATTTTCAATTTAAATACCTTCATTGGCAGAAGTACTAATGGGTAATAATTTAAAATATTTTTGAAATTATGCAAAGCTTTCATAGCCCTATTAGAACATTATCAACCCTGGTTAACCATATAATCTTTTATATTTTAGTTTACATTTTTCTTCCAAGTTTAAAATGGATGGTGAAAATAATACTTGCAGATTTGTAAATGCTGTCTGATAAATCAGGTAATTTTCATTCATTTGAGTTATAAAAAATCCAAGAGGAGGATAAAGAGATTATTATACTACTGACACTATACAACCCTGTCTTAGTGCGCGTCAAGGTCGGTAGACAAATATTAAATCTTAGAGTTCTGCTTTTGACTCAACAATGGCATTTGATTTATGAAATTGGAAATCTATATTTGATCTAGATTCCTTAAGTTATAATACAATGCTTTCAGCTATTATCATAGTCTCAATTATAACAATGCCATTTTTGAAATATATTTAAAATACTTATGTTATTAAGCAATTTGTTGATGCATTATAACTCTGTCTGATTCTGAAGATGCTTCTTTCAAACCATTTCGCTACTTCAGTATCTATCCATAAAAGTAATGACTGCTTGATGGCGAAGGCTCCATCTTGTTGGGCACATTTTGCAATTTTCTTTCTGCATGTTGGGAGCTTATGAAATGATTCTGTGTACCATATTTGCCTCTTGGGATATCTAAACATCCCATAAATGTTAGATTAAATATCAAAGAATTTAAAATTTAATATTAATTCATATAATAAATTAGTAGAATATTTCTTTTTGCTGTAAAAATGTGATAAATAAATCTAAATTGAAATATGTATTAGATCAGAGGTAAGGTTACCCTTTATAAAATATAAATTATTAATCATAAAATAATCAAAAATATTATAAATGGCTTTGGGAGGATTTACCCCCCTCCCCCACTGGCTGTGCCTCTGATTATTATATGAACGAGCTACACTTTCAAACATCATAGATTATTTATGAAAAATCATAATAAATATGTTTGAGTGGATGAAGAAAATTAACTGTGAATTATTTCTATTTAAATAATATTTTTCAATATACTAATAAAGTTTTAATCTGCCATATTTTTCGGGATAAGATAGAATTATACAAAACCAGAAAAATGATAATTGATAATGCCAAAATTATATTATTTAAAAATTTCTTTAATTATAATAAATGTGTTCTATATAACAAACAAACCACTAAAAATACACATTATAAATAGTTTATAATTTTCTCTCCGAAAAATCAATTCATTTCGGCTCAAAAAATTAATTAATATTGCTTGTCATAAAACGTAGCAATCAATTTAAATGCTATTATTAAATAATGATATTCAATAAACATACCTGAACAACATTGAAACACCCCGTAGGTAAGCCAGCTTCAGTAAAAGCTTCTGCAAGCATTAGAGAAGTTAAAGGGGTGAGAGGTGAAGGTTTGAATATAAGGGCATTGCCAGAGGCCAGGGCTGGTCCACTTTTCCATGTGGCCGTAAGTAATGGAAAATTCCATACACCTATAAATACATTTATACATACGGTTTCATATGATAATGTATTAATTAAAAATATTCGGTGCATTGCACCTGTAATTGTTTAGTAAAAGGCTAAGTAGTTTAAAAAACGAGATTTTAGTTTATAAGAAAACTTCATTGGCAGGGTGTTAGCATAAAATTTTGTAACTTGGGACCAATTGAAAACCAATTGAATCCCTAATGCCTGACCAAAAAATAAATTTATCTTCAGTTATCTTTATAGATTAAGATGTTGTCGAGGTATACGTTATATGAGGCATATCTAATTGCATCTAGTAAAATGCTCTGGAGGCAATAAGAGGCTAAAGGATGTTCCCATTGATAGAACAGTGTGTCTATAAGCTGTGTGGTTGAAAATAAGCCAAAGAATTTCTTCACCCTGTGTTAAAGGAAAGAAGATGGTTAATTTGATCTCAATTTTGCAAGTGAACTTAGCCTTCTCCAGATTTGCAGGCATTAGGTGGATTGATTTTATCCGAAATGGATATTTCAAAAATTTGTTGGGAACGTGTGAGGAATCACGGATGACTCTGGGGGATCCATCTACTTTGGAAAAAATGTGTAGCAGAGAGCAGATTTGACTTAGCTGGTATTGCTTGATGACATCGGCTTGTAACAGTTGTGACAAATTTATTAGCTAATCTCATGTTGATTGGATATAGGAAGTACCTGCCCTCATTGTTTTATATCCTAAGAGCGTCAAGGCGAGGCCTGAACCCTCTTCTTGAAACATTTCTTGTAGTCTTGGATTGTAGAGGTCCTATTTTTAGCTGGTGGCTTCTATACTTAGTTAAGGGATCACCCAGGTGTAAAATAAAAATAGCAATGTCACCTCCATTAGAGGTTTGAGGCAGAGTCCTGACGGACTTTTATTTCTTTAATTAGATGAAACAAGAAAAAGGGATAGAGGTTGGACTTGACGAAGTTTAATGCCCAACCTAGACGCTCTTAGGGGACAAACAATGAGAGCAGATAATTCCGCCAGTCAACCTAAGACTGTCCTGCAAATTTGTCCCATTATATTATATCTATTACAAGCCAACATCATCGAGGAAACCCAGCTAGGTCAAATCTTCTCTTCGTTATACATTATTCCCAAAGCAGATGGCTCCCCAGTCATAAAAAGTGATTTCTCCCATATTTTCATAATGTACAAATAAAATGATTAGAATGATGAGGACAACCCTGAATATATTACAAATTTGGTAACACAGTGTTATCTAAATATTTAAAATTAATCACTTCATATACTAAGCTATAAAAGACTTAAACTTTAATAGATGCATCTTTTTATTATCAAAATTTTACCACAAGAATTAATTTAGATAAAATCAGTTAATAAAGCTATAGTATCGCCCTTTTAAAAATAATTTATAGCTCATAAGTAGTTTATATAGCTATAGCAAAGCTACATTTTTAGAAAGGCAACTAGTAATAAACTAATTTTAAAATAGATATCATGATTCATTTATATTATATGCATGCAGGATTGTATAGATTTAATATATTTCAATATAGGATTTTTTTTTAAATTTATACTTTTAATATTATTAGAAAATTCGAATGATAAGCAACCAGATAATAAATATACCAATTCGTAAAAATAATGTTGCATGACTTATATAGTATGCTGCTATTTATAAAAATAAAATAGTATATATATAAGTATAAAGTAACTGTTAAGATTCTTGTGTCTAAGTAGTGTTGTTAAATGGCTCGTTTTGAGCCATTTTGGTAATTTTATTTACTCCGTTACTCAGATAAATATATATTTTTATTACCTTCTTTTTTTAGGTTGCCTTAACTTCTTTTTTTAGGTTGCCTTTTTTTATTTTCAACAGAAACACAAATTTTATTACCTTTTTATTTCACACAAATAAAACAGCGAAAAAATATAAAAATAACACAAGAAACAAAAAATCAATAATAAATTTAAATTGTTTTTTTCGCGCTTATATATATAATTTTTTTTACAATATCATTGCTATTTATTTATTTACTTCCAGTCAATCAATTCTGTTTATTTATTTATTCAATCTTTTATTATTATCGTTCCTTATCATTCATATAATTTGCCATTATACTTAATTCCTTTGGAGGTGTTGGTCGTGATATCTTCCCCCTTGATACGCCACCCTACAGAAGAGGCGACCCTCGGCATCCTCCTCCCACAGGTTGCCCCACTCCGACTCATTTATCATTACGTCTAGCCTGCCTCCTAGCTCGTCATCGAAACCTTCAACATCGTCCAGGACCGCCGCTAGATCCCGTAATTCCTATGTCTCCATCACTCCTTGACTATTCCCCATACGTTCAGCCGCCGAGTCCTCGGTAACTTCCCTCCTCGTTTGATTATTTTCCGCCGCCACCTCGTTTGGGGTCTCATTGTCCGTTGTTAAATCCACCACTGGCCATACCATTTGATCCACGCAGTATCGAAGAGAACATTTTTTAGATAGTCAAATTCTTATCGAAGGGAACATTTTTTTTTGATAGTCAAATTTTTATCGAAAGAAACAAATGTATTTATTTTGATAGTCACAATTTTTTTTGTCGAAGGGAACAAATGTAATTTTTTTTGTGATAATAAAAATTATGTCAAAAGAGTTGGAGCGATATGTTGTTTGGGATCATAATTGTTGGAAGAGAAAATTGGATATGTTAGAGACGGGAAAAGGGCGTGGTCCCAAATTATTTGATGAAAAGATAATTAATTACTCGGGCGTGCAAAGCATAGGCTTAGGAGGCAGTGGGCCAAAAAGAACAGAGAAAATTTTTTTTTGAAGAAATTTCTTTTTATGAGTTCAATAAAATTTGTGGTTACCTTGAATTGTAAAGGAGGAATAACAAAGTACGTATTGGTTAAGAATATATAGTATAGAATGTATTTAGGTTGGCAAGTGAAATGGATCTGAATAATGCTCCGGGCAGTGTTGTTAAAATAGCGCGCTACTTTTTTCAGTAGCGGTAGCTATAGCGCGCTACTTTTTTTTAAAAAATAGCGATAGCGGTAGCTCGCTACTAATTTAGAACTTTCAATTTTACATAATAAATACATCTAAAAATTATTAATATTTTTTATAAAATCTAAAATTATAATCCTTTTATTTAATTTAATTTTGAAATTTATATTTAAAAATATACATTATTGTTATATATTAGATATAAACAGTTGTTAAATAGCAATCTGTATTTAATTTATATTTCGCGCAATCATTAAATTATATATTTTTGAAATTCCGTTATTGGTATGTCCTTGCTTTTATCTTATTTTATATTTCATTTTACATTTTATATTAAGCATTATAAATCTTGTTATGTGTGAGATTGTTGAAGATATTGAAATTTCTTTGGAAAATGATCAAAATATAGATGATCCTTTCCCAAAATTCAAGATACTTTAACCTTGAAGAAAAAATTAATACTGGATATCGGTTTCGGTGCAAGATGTGCCGCAAAATTATCTCTTCAAATCATACGAGCAGCTTTAATTTGAAAAAACATTTAAAGGTTTAAACAAATTTAATATCAATGTGTAGGTTAATCTTTAATTTTTAAAATAAATTAAAATCAAAAACCAATCATTTTTTTTATATATTCATAAATTTTATCTAAATTATTTAAAACATTTTAAAATAGTTATTTTCAATCATTTTTATGTATACTTATCTCCAACATAATTTTTATTCTAAGTATTTTATAATTTTAGACTGTGCATACTTCAAATCATAAAGAGATTGAAAAATATCTCAAAAGTTTTGGGGTAATGGAAGAAGATAAACCCACTTCCAAATCAAATTTAATACAAACAAAATTAACCAATTTGGATTCATTAACATCTGGTGTATCCCAAAAATTGGCAGACAAAGTCATTATGAACTTTATAATAGATACAGTTCAACCATTATCCTTGGTGGATAATGATTCTTTTATAAAGATGATAAACACTTTTTCTCCACGGACCAAGATCATCCTAGTTTCAAGTTAAATTGGCCATACATAAATTTGACTGAATCTAAAGGGCAACTTGATAGGCTGATGGTAACGTTAAAAAATGGCATGCCTAACCACGATATTATAGCAAGATCGAAACCGCAGCCTTCCATAGACGATTTTTTTGAAATAAATAATAATAATATTATTGAACCTCTAGATGCTTTTTTTAAATCTAAAAATACTAATTAATATTTTTGATGTTTTTTTCATATAAAAAGTTTGTTTATTAAATTTAATACTGCGTTGACCTCAAGTGCTAGTGCTGAACGATTATTTAGTATGGCAAAGCTTATACTTTCTGATCGTCGCTCTAGACTTGGGGATGACAGTACCGAAATGTTATTATTATTAAAGTGCATCTAAATAAATTATATATATGGTGAATTCCATATCAAATCAACCAAGGTTTCAACCCGACCCCTTTCAATATTTTTTAAATTTTGCATACTGGTGGTATATACTATAACTAAGAAAAAAATGAAATTTTACCTCCCAAAAAGGCTTACCCGCTAAGATATGGGCGTTTAAAGCGCGGAAAAATGGTACATCTTTGACAAAAAGTGCCTCATTTATTTTCAAATATCTCGAGAAATAATTAAGTTAGAAAAATAATTTAAATTTTATTATGTAGCTTAATAATAGTTCTTTAATATGACATAAAAATAAATATGATATAAATTTGATGAATGTCCAAAACCGGATGTATAAAACCGGAAATGGCCATAGAAAAAAATGGTATTTTTTTTTCGAAAATTTTTTTCTATAGATAGATATAACACTGCTTTATATTTGTGCCAAATCCTAGCCTGGGATAAAAAAGGGTCTAGGAGTTATGACTCTTTATATGGCTTAAATTGATCAAAAATATCTTCATTTAATGAATACTTATGAAATAATGTTTTTTTAAAAATTATGTCTAAATGATAGGCCCTAACTTTTTTTTATTTTTAATTGTTAACATATTGTGAGTGAATAGATTTGCATTCTTACGACCCAAAAACTGTGTTTTAGCAGGTGGTCCAGGTACACATACCATGTGTATCTGCACACTACACCAAAATTTTAAGCTTATTTTAATAGGGGGAAAATTAAAACAGCTTACAAACAATAATGATCATTATAATTATCCTCCAATAAACGATTATAAACATTGTATTGCACAAAGTCTTTGCAATCCTGCCCAGCCTGGATGTTACTTCAATAAATGTAAATTTTGTCCTGGATCATCCCAAATAAAAGAAAGACTTATTATATTATTTGATACGAATTCAATAGATTATATATCATTTAAACAATGATTGGTAGTTGATAGAACTACGCTCGAAACGCTGACAAAATCAGCTTATGAATTCCTAGATTATTTAATTGAGAAATTAGACAATTTGATTCCACATTCATTTATAGCATCACAACAATCATAATTTCAAAACAATTTAAAATCTAATTTAAATGTTGGCGAATACTTAGTTATTGCTGACTTTTCGGAAAATTATGCATTTATAGTGCAAGACCATGCACAGGGATTTCATTGGACAAATAATCAGTCCACTATTCACCCTTTTATCATTTATTATCGTCAGGACAACACTATAAAACATATAAGTTTAGTGGTGATATCAGATTGCTTAAAGCACAATGCCTGTGCCTTTTATTTATTTCAAACTAAAATGATCTTATTTTTAAAAGAAAGATTTGATACATTGACCAAAATTTATTATTTTTCTGATTGGGGCCGTAATCCAATATAAAAATAAAAAAAATTTCATAAATCTCTATAATCATGAATGTGATTTTGGTATAAAGGCCGAGTGGCATTTTTTTGCTACAGCTCATGGAATAAGTCCGTGCGACAGTTTAGGAGGTATTACAAAACGGCTAGCAGCTCGAGCTAGTTTGCAACTGCCATATCAAAACCATATTTTGACACCAATGGATTTATTCGACTTTGCAACAAATAATATACATGGAGTAAATTACATTTTTGTAAGCAATAATGAATACAATAATATGGAAAATCATCTAGAAAGCAGATTTTTGAGAGCAAAAAGAATTCCGGGAACACAAAAATACCATGCTTATATTCCCCTTGATGAAAATAAAATTAAAGTCAAAATTTATACCAATTCTTTAGATAATTTAATATATAATATATTGTAAACATAATTATGAATTATTATATTATATGTAATTATGCATTTCAGAAAAATAAAGTTATAAATTGGTTTAGAATTATTTTGTCAAGTAATTTTCAGTCACAATATGTTAACAATTAAAAATAAAAAAAAGTTAGGGCCTATCATTTAGACATAATTTTAAAAAAAACATTATTTCATAAGTATTCATTAAATGAAGATATTTTTGATCAATTTAAGCCATATAAAGAGTCATAACTCCTAGACCCTTTTTCATCCCAGGCTAGGATTTGGCACAAATATAAAGCAGTGTTATATCTATCTACGGAAAAAAAATTTCGAAAAAAAAAATACCTTTTTTTTCTATGGCCATTTCCGGTTTTATACATCCGGTTTTGGACATTCATCAAATTTATATCATATTTATTTTTATGTCATATTAAAGAACTATTATTAAGCTACATAATAAAATTTAAATTATTTTTCTAACTTAATTATTTCTCGAGATATTTGAAAATAAATAAGGCACATTTTGTCAAAAATGTACTATTTTTCCGCGCTTTAAACTCCCATATCTTAGAGAGTAAACCTTGTTGGGAGGTAAAATTTCATTTTTTTCTTAGTTATAGTTTATACTACCATTATGCAAAATTTAAGAAAAATTGAAGAGGGTCGGGTTGAGAATCGACTTTTTTTGGTTGATTTGATATGGAATTCACCATATATATGTAACAAATTATAGTCATGTTTTTATATCAATATTTTATTTGTGGAAATAAAGTTACGTAAAAAAAAATATTTAAAAAAAAATCAAAGTAACGTAAAAAGTAGCTAATAGCGCGCTACTCATTTGAAAACGCTAGCGGTAGCGATAGCGCGCAACTTTTTTTATAAAATAGCGGTAGCGATAGCGCGCTACTTTTAAAAGTAGCGTTTAACAACACTGGCTTCGGAGTGCATAAAAGCTGGATATGGGGAAATTTTGAAGTAGGACTGATAATGTGGTCCCATAGGACCGGGGGCAGAGGTCGGGGAAGCAGGCGGGGAACGATAAGACGAACGACTGGAGGCGTGCTATCGATGTCAGGAGCGAGGCCATATTCAGTATATATGCCCGTGGAATTTGGAGAGGAGGGCAGATGGCAATCGGACGGAATTGGAGCAAGTTCGAGCAAGAGTGGAGGAAGTACCGGCGAGGCGGATAGCAGCAATTCTGGGGATGCGAACGAAGCCGGTGGGAAGCGTTGGATCAAGACCTATGGCAGAAATTCATGGAACGAGGAGAGATGAGGAAGATGAACAGGAGCCCGAGCATCATCAGAGGGAAGCCCACGTGGATCAAATGGTATGGCCAGTGGTGGATTTAACAACGGAGAATGAGACTCCAAACGAGGTGGCAGCGGAAAATAATCTAACGAGGAGGGAAGTTACCGAGGACACAGCGGCTGAACGTATGGGGAATAGTCAAGGAGTGATGGAGACAGAGGAATTACGGGATCTAGCGGTGGTCTTGGACGATGTTGAAGGTTTCGATGACGAGCTAGGAGGCTGGCTAGACGTAATGATAAATGAGTCGGAGTAAGACAACTTCTGGGAGGATGCGGAGGGTCGCCTCTTCTGAAGGGTGGCGTGTCAAGGGGGAAGATATCACAACAAACACCTCCAAAGGAAATAAGTGTAATGGCAAATTATACTAATGATAAGGAACGATAATAATAAAAGATTGAAAATAAAGAGAATTGGTTGACTGGAAGTAAATAAATAAATAGCAATGATATTGTAAAAAAAAAATATATATATAAGCGTGAAAAAAAACAATTTTAAATGATTTTTTGTTTTTTTGCTGTTTTATTTGTGTGAAATAAAAAGGAAATAAAATTTGTGTTTCTGTTGAAAATAAAAAAAAGCCAACCTAAAAAAGAAGGTAATAAAAATATATACATTTATCTGAGTAACGGAGTAAATAAAATAGTTCGCCTCTTCTGAAGGGTGGTGTGTCAAGGGGGAAAAATATCACAACCAACACCTCCAGAGGAAATAAGTATAATGGTAAATGATACTAATGATAAGGAACAATAATAATAATAAAAGATTGAATAAATAAATAAAGAGAATTGATTGACTGGAAGTAAATAAATAAATAGCAATGATATTGTAAAAAAAAATATATATATATAAGCGTGAAAAAAAACAATTTTAAATGATTATTGATTTTTTGTTTCTTGTGTTATTTATATATTTTGTCGCTGTTTTATTTGTGTGAAATAAAATTTGTGTTTCTGTTGAAAATAAAAAAAAAGGCAACCTAAAAAAAGAAGGTAATAAAAATATATATATTTATCTGAGACAGAGTAAATAAAATAGGTAACTCAATATTTTAGGCAGAAATATATTGTTCTAAGCCTCGAGATTTTGATTATATATGTATAGACCCTTGTTCCTTCTATGAACAAAATCTTCAGACTTGCGTAATATTTTTCTGGATAAAATTTGAGTTAGCCCTAAAAATCAGCTCTAAACGAGCCATTTAACAACACTAGTCCATAGTTCAATGCATTGGCATAGATATATCAAGAGAATGGGGAATGATTATATCTATTACTAGGCACATAGCCAGAAATTCTTTGTAGTATGGGAAAGGGATGGATTAATTTTTTTTATATTATAAATGATTTTTTTGGAAGAGTAATTTTTTAGAACTAATCATAATTTAAAAAATGGCAATTTTGAAACAAATAATAAAAACTGAAAATAGTGGACATAGGGCTCTTATTTGGGGAAATAGAGGGTTCATAGACCCATGAAATCATGTGTGTGCTTCATCATTTCAACTAAATGCTTTAATCAAGAAATTGTTAGAATGCTTCAAGATAGGTTATTTGTTTTGTAATTTTCTCATCATATTATGATATAAATATATATTTCATTAAGTGTTATTGAATTTAATGTTATTTGATTATATACATCTTTATAATAGTCCCTCCCTCAAGGTAAAATTTAAGATACATCCATGTGTATTTAAAATCCATTAACAAACATTTAAAAATAAAATATATTTTAGTGAGAATTTTATAAAAAAGGACTAATGCCTCAGTATTAATTAAATAAAAATATACCTATGGCAGCAACAACTCCTATGGGTTCACGCCTGACAAAGGCATAATTTTCTCCCATGTTTATATATTGACCAGTGACTATAACATTTTGATTTTAATGACATTATAATATATAATGCTTACTTGCATTAGTATTTGCAAGTCCCGCAAAATATTTAATGCAATCTATACTAGCTGTTACATCCATTTTTGCTTCCCATATTGGTTTACCACTATCCTTGACCTCTGCATAAACTATATTATCATAATTTGTCTTTAAAAGTTTTGTTTAAATTTGTAGATTTTTAAATCAACTTGTAAAATATCGCCTGTTTTGTACATAATATCTCTCCTCTCATCACAAGATTTCGAAAACCAAAATTTTTGACCCTTTATGGCACTTTCCACTGCTAATTTAATATCATCTTCTTTAGAATCAGGTATGTGACATAAAATCTCATCTATAATTTAACATAAAATGAATGCGTACAAAAAATACGTGTAGCAGGATTGTAAACTGGAATATCGTTTCTTAAAATTTTTTGATCATTTATATAATTATAAGCATCAAAATATAATGCTTTTTTAGCATTGACATGAATTAACGATGTCAAAGTCTTGGACATTAAAATAAATACGAAAATTAAAAGAATGACATGGTAGTGATGACAGTTTGTTATTCCTATCTAGGCATATAGGTAAGTAAGGGGATTTGCCCTTTGGGAGCACATGTAAATATAGCCTGCCCAAAAATTCAGAAAGGGCTTCTCTCTTAAGTTACCCCCAATCTTCTAACCCAATTGGATAGGATTTGAGAGAGGCAAAGCTAGGAGCGTCATTAGCCTTCACAATTTCGGGGGCTCAAATTAAATTATTTCCAGAATTAGATTTTTTAACATTATTCAAAATTACACTTGATGTAAAAATAATTTCATAATGTTGAGGGGGGATCTTCAAATTTATCAAACTTGATTCCCTTCAGACCGTAGTTGTTAAACGGCTCGTTTTGAGCCGATTTTTAAAAATGGCTAACTCAATATTTTATCCAGAAAAATATTACATAAGTCTGAAGATTTTGCTCATAGAAGTAACAAAGGTTTAGACATATATTATAAAAATATCGAGGTTAGGTAATATTTTCCTGGCTAAAATATTGAGTTTGTCGTTTTAAAAAATAGGCTCAAAATGAGCCGTTTAACAACACTAGACCCTAGTTAGTGACGTTACTGGGCCAAGCGTAGCTCTGATATATAAGGGGTATCACTATCTTTACAACCTCAGGGTCTTAAATTTTTTTAAAATTATTTAAAATTTTTTTTTTAGCTAACAATTTTAAAATGGCCCATTTTAAAGTATAGAAAAAAAATTCAAATTTATTGTGGATTCTTAAAGTTTTCGCGAATCCTTTGCCCCTCTCCCACCATAGTACTCTTCTGGCTATTATACAAAGGGAAATGGCGATGCGTTTACAATTACATATCATTTAAATTAAAAATTAATAATATATATTGTTGTAATTAAAGTTTTGTTAATATATTTTGATGTGATTTCAATAATATGCTATTTATAGAGATTCGATGATAGATTATTAATTTTTGTTATTTTGTTTTGTGCGTACAGTGATAAGTAATAAAAGCATTTTATTTAACATAGTCTCACTTATAAGCCCAGTACTTTTACACCACTATTATAATAAACAAGTTTTTTTATATATCTCCCTTAAGGTTTTTAGGCCAGATAAACTCCACGCTGGTCAGGTGCGCAGCCAGGAATTTTCTATAGGAGGATCGGGGGAGGGAAGGAATAATTTTTGATATATAGAAATAATTTTTTGGAGGGCTTTAAAATTTATTAGAATAAATCATATTTTAAAAAATGATAATTTCGAACACAATAAAATATCGGAAATAAAATATATAAGAGCAAATATAATATTATTAAAAATAATTATATCTATACAAACCATTATGTAAAAAGAGACAATTAAAAATTATATGATGTTTAAAAAGTTAATCAAAATATCTTTCATAAATAAAAATTTTATCTTAGCGATTACGCCAATTTTTCAATAATTTATTCTGCATTGGGAATTAAATTTCAATGTAAATTAAGTAGAGCTAGTTTAATCGATTTTCATTTATAGGGGTGCGTCTATTTATAGCTCGGATGAAAATATCGTTTGACTTGAAAAGATCGCTTAACTAACCACTTTATTACTAAATATCGTTCCGCTGGGAAATATCGCTAGGCTAACTACATTATAGATTATTTCTTATTAAATATCCCTCGGCTAACCATATATAATAAATCATTTATTTCTAAATATCGCTCGGCTAATTACATAATAAATCATTTATTACTAAATATTGCTCGACTGTAAGTCCTCGGATATTTATATAATATATTTCCAATAATATTTCAGTAATTTTTAAATAATACTTGAACTTGAGAATAAATTGGTTTTTATAATAAAAATAAATGTTTTGACACTGCTTTAATTCTACATCGCTAATGTTGTTTTTAAACCTTTTGGTTTTAAAACAGATAAAGTTTTATCTAATGAATGTAATTTATCTTTGCTTGGACTATTAAATAAATTATTTAATGGATCATTACAATCTATCGATTTGGGAATTAAATAGTTATGATACTCATTATTTAAAAAATGTTCTCCTCTTCCTGAGAAGTTTTTCAAATTCTTTTTCTTGTAAATGTGATATTTTTAACTTTGTCTATTAATTCCGTTGTTTTCAGTTTATATATGATTTTAAAACGTTATTCTTAGTTTTTATTTGCCCATAAAGAAGTTGTTATTTTATTTTTTAGGGGTAGGTAAACATGTTCATAAATTACTTTTTGAAATTTATTTTTTATATATGACAAATAATATTTAAATTTTTATTATAACAATAGTTGTATTAATCATTTATTTTTTATTATATATTTGGTCATCCCGAGAAACTGAAATCCCATTAAAAGAAAAATATCCTATATAATTTTTTTAGACAACAATATTTGCACCTTGTTTTTCCCACAAATATATTCTTTTATTGTTTTTTAAACGATGCGTGCATATTAAATGAGTATTAAATTGAAAAACAGGATATACTATATCCCTTATAGTCTTTTCCTGTCACTACCGAATATGATATTTGTTGTAGATGCTAAAAAAAATATTTTAATATTATTTAAAATTAATTAAAATAAAATAAAAATTAAATTAAATATTAATATTAAAATAATAATTATAATAAATTTAATATTTTTATTCAAATTTATATTCTATAATAGGAAATTTTGTATATATATAGTAACACATAATTCTTCATTTAAATTTAATAAAATAATTTTCTTAATCTGAGCTAGCCATCATTCCAACAATATTTTTAATATATATATTTTTTTTTAAGTACAGAAGACAAATGATAAAAACAAATATGATAGGTAATCATATCAGAATCTCCATGCAAATATATTGGCCTCAAAAATATTGGAAATTCGCCTGTCTTATATCTCTTAACGGTTATATGTTTGAATACTACACTTAAATTAAGTGTTTTATCAACGCCTAATATATAGAAGTCAGATTAATTGCTTAGGCTATCTTTAAATGGACCTGGAACATTATCCATTATATATATTATATAATTTTCTTGAGCTTTATTTTGAATATGTTAAAAGCTCATAAATATCTATATATTTTAAAATAAAAAATATATCATTGGGAGATAGTAAAATTTTTATGGATTTGATATTGTATAAAAAAACCATAGTTAGTATGACCTCCTTCAGTTATAATATTGTATAAAAAATAGTAAAGATTATATTTGGATTTCTTAGCTACATGGTTTATATAAAATTTGTTCTATTAAAAATAGTAAATCTTTTATGGTAATGATAGACAGACAGTTGGTTTTTATTGTTATTGTATTGTTAGAATTATTTGGTATAAGAAGAATACAAAGTGATTAATTATTATATTAGATATATAATTTATACATTTGATAGATGTTCCTTTAAACTTTGACTCACTCCCCTGTCATAAAAAATATCGGTCGGGCAAAATACGGGAATTGGTTTGCCAAGTGCTAAACTTAATGCGCAAATATGAATTTGTTGGCCCGAACATTAAATAGTCGAATCGAGTAGCTGATAATATTAACTTACCCATAAATTTGGATTAATTTTTTATATTTTAAATTTATCATAATATTGAGGATTTATAATTATTATTGCCATTATCAGTATTAATTTGATGTATTTGTGTTTTATACAGGGATATGAACCTGGACCCTCCTGAATCCTTTGCATTTTTGCTGAACCCAAACTCGGACCCTTTTTGAAAGAATAGGGTTCTAAATGTCAAAAAAATTAAAAATAATACTTTATTTTATTTTATTTTATTTTATTTTATTTATTTTAATTTTATTTTATTTTCAATATAAAATATTCACACAAAACATATTTAAAAGAATATATTAAAACTTATATTAGAGGAAGAAATTTTTTTAAAAAAAAGAATATATATATTAAATATTATACAAACTAAAATATAAAAAAGGAGAGAGGGGGGGGGGGGGGTTGAAGATTTGTCTGGTAGAGTCGAAGATGGAGATAAAATAAGTAACTCGAGAGATATTCTTTGTCCAAGGTACAAATTTTCTTTAGGATCTCACGTGATTGTTGTTATTTTTACAATTCTTAATTTTACTTTAAAATTAGAGTATATTATTTAAAATTTTTAAAAAGGCATGTGCTATATTGGAAGTTATTAAATCAAATAAGAATATTAATCCATTTATTTGAATAAACATAATATATATAAACAATGATAATATAGATATATATTATTTTAAGGAAAAACAAAAATAGTTTTATATATATTTATATCATATAAAAATGTAATTAATTTACTTAAATTTGACATATTTTTAATATTAATAAAACAAGAATATTCACATATATATAAAGAGGAAGATTTTCTTCCAGTTCTGGGGATGCTTTCCTTAAGATCCCTCCATAAACCCTCAATATTATATTAAGTAAAATTTTAAGATTTGACAATACTTAATTTACCACTTCCATTTGTCAGTCATTATAGTTGAATCAGTATGGACTGCTTACTGATTATACCAAAAAGGGTCTCTATCTATTTTTTTAGTTTCAGTATTAAAAATTTTCCATCATTTCTTGATATCCCATTTACCAGGGTTGGGCAAATTTTCAGAAAATTGTATTCGTATACAGATACTTTATAAAATTTTGTATTTAAGATACAAGATACTAGATACTTAAGAAAAATTTCAATAAGATATAAGATACAAGATACTTGTATCTTTTTAAAATAAAAGTATCTAAGATACAAGATACTATTTTTAAAAACTTTAAATAGTCAAAATCAAAATGTATAAAGCTTTATTTTCTTATCTATAATATAAATTTATAAAAAATTTGAAAATAAATTGTAGAAAATAACAAATTTATTATATAAGATAATGCGATATTTTTTTTAATAATTGTATAATAGTAAATATTAATACATCAGCATTATTTTTTAATATTATTAATTTTTCAATAATTTATCGTTCAATCTTTGACGATTTGTTTAGTCTATAACCATATAAGCAAAG